CGGAGACGCGTCGCGACCGGTCCCGGGCCGGGCCTGCACCCTCCCGCCCGCGCCGGGATCAGGTAGGGCGGCAGGGCGCGGGGACCCACACCACCCCACATCACCCGATGGGGACCCTGGTTTTCCCTCTGCCACCCCCTCCCCAGGGGCTCCTCAGCCCCCGGCATGCCCCTGCTCCTTGGGATGGTGGCCTGTTCCCGGTACCCCAAGTCCCCCACCCCAAGACCCCCCCTGCTCCTAGGGAACCCCATGCTGCAACCCCCCCTTGGCCAATCCCTCTTCCAGAGACATCTGGGGCCACACAGACCCTCTGAGGCCCCGGGCCTCGGGGTCTCCCTGCCCGCTCCCTCCCAGCCCTGCTTTGCAGAATAAGCCAAAGTACTTCCACCCTGAGCAGATTCAGCAACCCGCCTTGGTTCTGCCTCCGTCTCCCATCCTGTCCTACCCCTAACGTTTGGTCCCTAGAGATGTCCCAGGATGACATGACCAAGATAACAGTGACCATCTGCCTAAGGGTTATTCTCCTGCCCACCTTTACGTGATTATTGAAAACAGGGATTCCTATTGTCATTCAGTCTTTCTCAAGGAATCTTACCATTATCCATTCTGTTGGCTCTTCCAAACTCCCCCACTTTTCCCTTCACCAGAGTTGACTCTGGACTTCCAAAGGAAAACTAAAGATAGATTACCAGAAAATTCCTAAATATATTCCTTCCAGTATTTGGAAGTTACCTAGAATTATTTATGAATCTTTGCTGTCTGGGCCAAATGCACTGAATCAAGTAATACTCCAAATATTTGACACTAGGGACCAGTACAGCTTTGGCTGGCATATTTGACTTCAGTTGAACTTGGATTCTTCCTCCACAAACGGGAAGAGATAATTAAATCCTATGTGCAGTGTAAGCCAATGTAATTGGGAATCTTTTTCACATGTGTTTCAGGGGAATTCTGTCCACCATACATACTTTTCATGTAAATTTCCCTAAGCCCTTAGGTAAACTTTCTGCAGGCACTGAAAGACGGTGACAACTTTTGTCCTTTGTTTTAGTTATATTCAGACATTTCATTAGTAAGCCTGTTCTCTCTCTAAGAAAATTGTTTCCTTTTTTTCCTTAATACGTTTCTTTCTCCCCCTCAGGCTTCAAGGGGGAAGGAGTGCTGGTGCTTTCCCCTTGGTACTGAGCTGAGCTGTGGCATCCAGCATGGGAACTCTGATGGACATGGTGCCCCAACACACATCACAGCCTGCTGCATCCTCTGTGAGTTTCTGGGAGTCCTTTCTGTGTCTGACCTCTGTTTTGCATGCTTCATGGGGAGGTTGGGAAGGGAAGCACAAAGGTGTTATTTACATTAAGCAGCTCTTTTTGCTAGCAGTCATGGCCTCACAAACCTCACGGCCTTTGTTTCTGAATCAGCCTCACTTGCTTTTATTTCCCCAGCCAAAATTTCATTACCAGAGGTGAACTGTGGCTGTTGATCTTTCTAAGAGAAACAAGCAGAGAATATTGATAAAATGCCTTAAAATCCTTGAATGTAAGTCTTGAAGGAAGGCTTATGTGTTGACACTGGTGGTGCTGCTGTGACAGGACGACAGTCTCATCACAACAACAGGAAACGGGCTTTGTAACAGGGCTTTGTCATGCACCTTGCCCGGAATTCAACGGGGTCAAGTACGAGGGTTAGGGTTATGCTGAAACTGGCCAGGAGAGGGCAATGTCACCAACCAAACCGCCATCCTACATGTCTGTTTTGAAGGTCAGTCACACACGAACAGTTGATGGGGACATCCCTTTCATATCGTTGCCCCCTGCCCTTCATTTTGGAATCATCTTCAGGGAGAATTATGAAGCACTAGTTTTAGTGGGAGGCTGTTTTGTTTGCTTCTTGTAAAGATAACATTCAGAGACATCTATTACGATGTTATAAAACTGAAAGAAAAATAGGATTCCTGCTACGAGAAGCTTGAAACTTACGAGCGAAACACAAAGCTGGGAAAACAGGCATTTAACTTTAAAAGGTATTTTCAGCACACACATACACCCAAGATGCATTTTTGTTACCACAATAAACAGAAGAATGGCTCAGCATACTCTGCCTCTCAGTCTAGCCATCAGAAGTGGCCTAGTTTCTATTCTCTGACATACTGTCAAAGCAAAGCAGTTCTGTTTCAATGATGAGAACCCCCATGTAGAAGTAAACATTTGATGACAAAATCTCTGATGGAAAACATACTGCAAGCTGGCCTGTACCTGAACCTGGCACGTATAATGAGGACACTTGCCTTTCGCTGGGTTGTTTTTCTAGTAGGTAGAAGCTCTGTAGCAGGCATATGAGACTGAAAGTGACCACCTGAATTTTGGACTTCAGTCCCAGCTTTTCTTGGTTGATCCAAAAGGCAGGCAGGGTAGGGCATCTGGCTTGACTAGTCTCTTCAATCCAAACCAACTTTTTCCCAGTTCTGCCAACATGTTTATCTGAGATAGTATTTCTGCATTTCTCAGGGATGACACTAGTGTACATACTATGGGTGACACATCTGGCTTTAGGTCTTCTGATTTGTGGCAGGAAATCAGGGTATAGGGAGTAGCAGTGAGAAACACTTCTCAGTACAATTAACTACGTAATTGTGGGTTTTTTTCATTTGCAGTACTTAGTTGGCCTAGGAGAAATTGCCCTTCTCTGGACCACATTTGACTATTTTATCTGTTATATATATATAGATCCATCACTATGTTTCTGAAAGGAAGTCCAGGGCTCTGTGTGGTTTATATGCAAAGCCAGCTGCTCAATCGATGTAGCTGACAGCCCCCTCACTATCACGCTGTGTAACGCATCCTGCTATGCAATAGCATAGGGAACACACTGTGATTGAAGGATGTGTTATGTATCTCATATGACCACTAAGCTGTAAACGGGAATGGTGCCACGGAGAGCTTGTGCAGAGGCCTGGGAAATGGGTTGAGTTCAGATGATCAAATAGCCATGTTCCACTTCTGAACAAAGCCAGTCTGCATCCCTGACAGACTAGACACGCCTGCCAAGACTTAACATACAAGCTCTATGGACAAATGCAGGTTGCACTGCAAGCAGTGACTTAATAGCAGTCTCTGTATCCTGCTGTTGCCCAGTGTGTTATAGTCCTTACAGGGTGGAGCACAAATGCTAAAAGTGCTTTACTGTTGCCTATCTCTAATGAAACAGGACACCTACTAAATGCCACTGAGGTGGGCTGTGATAAACAAACTGGTGGTCTCAGTGTATCATCTTACCATGATTTAAACCGTATATTTTACGTTTAAATCCTGCTTGTGTTTTGTATTTCTATGCTGTTTGAACATAGTACCTCTTTATTTGTATTTATTTTTTTAATCCTGTAAATTTGGGTTATGTTGCCAATATAAAGTCTGTGACTAGGGTCTGCTTACATTTAGCTTCTCTGCTTCTCAAAGGACAAGGGTAAATATCTAGAATTTGCAGGGATTATGAGCATAAAATATTTAATCTGCTATCACATTCATAAAACAAATTATAAAAACAATCCGAGAACACCTAACAGCCATCTGCAACCTCTCTGTGCATTACAGTGCATATGATCTTACTTCATCTGTTGTTTTTTTTGTTCCAGAAATGACCTCAGCATCCTTACCTGTTAATATTAGAAGTTTTCTATTAAATGTATGTTTACTATGTAGCAGTGAAAAACAGATAATAAATGTAACTTTTTTTTTTAGATTATTAGCCAAGAATAGCATTATAAAGTCCGAAGAAAAGGCTTAGAGTGTGTTTTGTGGTGGTTGTTTTTTTAAAATTAGGTCACTTTCTGTTTGATGGGGAAAGCACTCAGTTTTGCTATGAAATGTTATTGAAATTGCAAGGGCGTAAGCTACTTAATTGCATCACAAAAAATGGGGATAAATATTTATCGCTGTCTATTTAATGGCATTTTGAGTCTCAAAAGTAAACTGGATCAAGGCATTAACCACCAGCATTGCCAGCTTACAAGATTTTATGCAAAGCCTCACAGCGATCTGTTGTTTTGCTTAGCAGATGTGATATTCCAAATAATGCAAACATAAAAATCTCAATTCCCACTGAATTATGAAAAGTGAGGCAATCATGGATAAATAATTTAAAATTTAAGTCATAGAGGTGTGGGGACTGACTCGCTTTTTAGTTACTTGAGTTGGTTACAGAGGGAAATATACCTGTGGCTTGTCTTTCTGTATTTTAGCTGCATCTCCATATGTGACAGGGTAAAATATTTAACTTAATATGCAATTGCCTTTTCTTCCAGATGCTTAAACACCTAGACAGAAAAACATGTTTGTTTTTAAATGTGTCTCCCACTTAGAAATACGTGGCCAGATATTTTAAAATCTGAAGGCACAGTCTGGTATCACTGGGCAGTATGGCAGTGCTGCTCTGTGGACTGGCAGCCAGAGCCCCTGGCAGAAGGTGTCTTCATCCTCTCTGAGAGATTTTCCTTTTTTTTTTTTTTTCCCCTGGGCATCTCCTGGAAGGTGAAATTAAGTTTGAGAGATTGCCTGGAGATATTTGATACTTGTTTTTGGAATGAATGCAGTTATTATTGATTTAGAAAATTTGCTGGAGATTGTACTGAATTCTAGTTTGAAAGCTTTCTGTCTTTTTTCTTCTTTCGACTTC